TTCATATTTGGTCCCTAAGGTTTGGAAAAAATTATTTTTTAACTTTATTTTTCGTTTTTTGTATACTTTATCTATTTTCGGTTTTTTTTATAAATACATATACATTTTTTATTTTCTTTTTTGTATATACTTTATTTATTTTCATCTTTTAACTTTATTTTTTTTATCAATTTGATTTTTTTTTACCTTTTTACCTTTTGTTTTCTATTTTATAGTGTATATATAGAGTATATTAGAGTTTTTTTTGGTTTTTTTTTTCATATTTCTTTTCATATTATATTATATTTTTTTATCTTTTTATTTATTTTTATTTGTTTTCCAATTATTTCTTATTATTATTATTATTATTATTATTATTATTTTGTATTTTTAACTTATATGGACCGAGTATTTTGAAAATCTTCCAAATTTAAAGAGCATGCACTTCCTAAGCCATTTTACAATGTAATATACAAGAAAAACCGATACTTATACATGAAATATATAATATAATTCCTACATAATATATGAACTAAAAACACACATGGCTATTTTGTTTCCTAAATGCTCAAGTTTTACTTTGCAAATCGTTGAGTTCATTTTGCAGCTAATGCATCATGTTTACTTCTATCTACCAAGTACAAATGCACAATTCCTGGAACTTGAGGTTTATCAGCAACAATTGAAAAACAAAATTATCAACTTTATCCAAATTTCAGATTTTTAAAGATGCTAAAAGATTATAATATAACAATTCAAATAGAGAATTTAAGGATTAAACTATAACAAAAAGAATGAAATACATACAAGGGTTAGGGTTGGTGAAGATTGATCTCAAAACAAGTAGCACCTTTAAATTGTTAACCCACGACTCCAACTATTTTCTTCCAAGATATCCAAGCTAACATTGCCTGTTGAATCTACATTGCAATGATATATTCATGTTTTGAAATACAAAAAATAAAAATAAAAAATTGGAAAACAAATAAGAAAAAATATAAAGATGAAAAAATTAAAATATAATACGAAAAGAAATATGAAAAAAAACTAAAAAAAACTATAATATACTCTATATATACACTATAAAATAGAAAATAAAAGGTATAAAAGGTAAAAAAAAATCAAATTGTTGAAAAATAAAGTTAAAAAATGAAAATAAATAAAGTATATAGAAAAAGCAAATAAAAATGTGTGTATATATATATATATATATATATATATATATATATATATATATATATATATATATATATATATATATATATATAACCGAAAATAAATAAGGTATACAAAAAACGAAATTAAAGTTAAAAAGCCATGTGGTGTAATTTTTTGCAAACCTTAGGGACTAAATTTGAACATTTTAGGACTGATTTTGTAAAAAATTTAACCAAGTTAACCATAAAACCCGTTAAGTGGGCTAGAGTAATAATTCCGTGAAAAAGTTGTGGCCATAGCAATAACAAAAAATATTATGATTTTTTCCAATTACGGGTTAAAAATTTAGGGCTTTTATAATATTAACCCTTTAATTAAGGAGAAACCAAGGAACTTGATTCCATTCGTATCTATACATGCCTCTCATATGGTCAATAATAAACTGAAATTATAAGACAATTGGATGACATAATTATTAATAAAGAAAGGCTTGAGTGAAACACTAACATAATTCCATTAGTCTATGAATGGCATAGAATCAAACAAACTGATATTTACAAAGCATGATTTTGTCAAGCTTATATGTTTTATGTTTCGAACAGAAAGTTGCAGCCAAGGCCACAAGCTCAAGAATCGCAAACAATATATTTAAAAATATATAACACAGAAAAAAGAAAATAGGAGTTGATTTTCAGATATCTACATATTTAGAATTTTATATATGCCTTTCTTAGACATCAAAATATCATATTTACATAATTCCATTAGTCTATGAATGGCATAGAATCAAACAAACTGATATTTACAAAGCATGATTTTGTCAAGCTTATATGTTTTACCTTTCGAACAGAAAGTTGCAGCCAAGGCCACAAGCTCAAGAATTGCAAACAATATATTTAAAAATATATAACACAGAAAAAAGAAAATAGGAGTTGATTTTCAGATATCTACATATTTAGAATTTTATATATGCCTTTCTTAGACATCAAAATATCATATTTATCCAAATTAATTTCTAAATATTATATTTACCTTTCATAAAATTTCTAAATATCATATATGTCATTTTTAAACATCAAAATATCATATATGCCTTTATTTAATATCAAAATATCGTATATGTATTTTTTAAATATTAAAATATCAATGGTAATATATAAAATATCTTCCACCTATAACATGATAATAATCAACAACAACAAAAACTAAACAATCAAAATATACATTCCATAGAGAGGGTGGAAGATGAATCATATTGTTTGTCAAGAAGGAGACATTCCAAATATTTAGAAGTTCACATTCTATTATCATAGACGTAAGGATAATATGGTTAAAAATTTTAATTATTATAATAATTCTAAGGTATAAAAAATGATTATAAAATATTAAAAAACATTATAAAATAGGATTTGGGCAAATATGATATTTTGAAGGTTTATAAAGGATAAATATGATATTGATAAATTAAGCTAGGCAAATATGATATATTGAAGTTTAAGAGGGGCATATATATGCTAATGACTAATGCAGTTAATCTAAATCGATAAATAGGACTAAGACAGCCTATTATAGAAGAGCCATCAGAATTAAACAAATACAGAGCCAACTGGACATTTAATGATTGTACAAATAAAGAGCCATCGATAAATAGGACTAAGACAGCCTATTATAGAAGAGCCATCAGAATTAAACAAATAAAGAGCCAACCTGACATTTAACGATAGTGCAAATAGAGAATGGAACAGAGGGCACCACGAACATGTTATAACTCAACTTTTGACCTGTGTTTACATAAATCTAATTTAGAGTTAGTGTATTGTAGATTTCAGTTTGCGTCAAAAAGATGTAGGGAAAATTAGGGTTTGAGGTGGAGATCTGGATACCAGCTTGGATCGTGATATCACTTTCCGAGCTGATATTTCTACCCTATGCCTAGGTTGCAAGAAATTCAACCTAGGATAATCCAAGTGGACACTTACGTTTCTAGGCAAAGAAAACGTAAGCTAATATGCTAAAGGGTTCTGTGAATGTGTGATGAAAAACAAGAGCTAATGAACCTCCCCATTTTGGAAAGAAAGAGTTGTTTATATACTAAACACGATTAGGGTTTCATTAGGGTTGGGCCGTCATTAGTTGCTTTGGAAGCAAGTAACATTAATCCGGATTAGGGTTACCAACAACTAACGAGTTTTGTTAGTTTTACCATAATCACCCTCAACTAACATTAATTCGAATTAGGACCCCAGCCAGGGGCTCTACCCCTTGGACCCCGCTAGGGGCGCTGCCCCTAGAACCCGCAAAGGGGCACTGCCCGTTTGGAAACCCCGGACCCGGGGGCGCTGCCCCCGGATCCCCGACTAGTAGTCAAACCGGCTTCTGACTCAGTCTCATACATGCGTGCACTCCACACAACCCCGTACATGTATTAGAATACAAATCATGAAGCCCTTTAGCTCATATGTTAGCCCAGCTACTTAAAATGACATGGTGACACTAACATCACCAACAAAAGATACTTAGTTGAAACCCCTAAACTTAGAGTTCATATATATAGATTGCATGTTATCCGACTATATAATGTGTCAAAGGGACTTCTCCGATTTTTTAAATATCCCACAAAAAGACGCCTGATAGTAACAAGTATATAAGGATTGATAGATCATCTTTCAAGTGCTAATTTTGGAAATAACCTATATTGAGAAGTAGTTAAAGGAAAAAATAATAATAATAAATAATAATTACTACATACGAAATAATGAACTTTTCAAAATGTTTCTTTCCACACAACAGGAAGTTGTCACCCATGGTGTTAGTGGCATTTTTATTGATAATCGAGACTTAAAACTCAGCCAGTTACAAGTGAAACGTGATCTCACCAAAGCTAAAAAGTACGGAATTGCACCTCGAGGCGTTTTCCCTTCGGCTCACAAAGGGTAAGCCTTGAGACGAAACGAGGCGTAAGCCGGAGGCGGAATTAAAAAATAAATATAAGAGTTATATATCTTATAAAAAATAAAATAGTAAACATATAATTGAAACTACAATAATATATAACTAGGTGTAAAACTCATGTATTACATGTGTTTAATTAAAAAAAATAAATATAAAATTTTAACAATTTAAAAAGTTTTAATTTATAAGAAAAATGAAAAAATTTTGAATTATTAAAATTAATGAGACTTTAATGTATTGAATGTATTACATATATAAACTTTTTCTAATAAATACTTTATATATATATATATATATATATATATATATATATATATATATATATTACCTTACACATTAAATGTGGAATTTTAATTTAATAAAATGAAAATTACAATAAAATAACAAGTGGAAAATAAAAAATTTAAAAATTTTAGAAAATGTCATGTGTCCAAATAAATGAGAAGAGGACGTGTGGCAAAAAACCTTCATTTATTATAGTAGATTGAATCTCCAAGGATCCGAACATATATTTTTACAAATCTGCTCCGATGTTTCCAATTTATGTCGGAATGTGTGTTTGGAATCAAGAAATTGGATATCCAAACAACATCTGGTAGACTCAATTGAATGTATGGAACATCAATTTCATCAACTGAGGAAAAATTACAAGATGCGATGCTAGGAAGAAGAATAGGTAAGATGCGAAGAAGAAGACCAAGCATCGGTTGGAAAAGAAAAAGTCAAAATAAGTCCAAATTAGGCTAAAAATCAAAGCATACGCTTCTGAAAAACGCACTGTCTCTACCGATTCATCTACGCTTCTTAAAACGATGGATCTTACATTACCATACCTCTAGCCCGAACTAAGAACACTAATAGGTTTATGAAGCAAACATACAAATCATGAAAGAATAATTAAATATATACAATCACATACGTGAAATCCTCCGCAATTTTGTAATGAACACCACCACCTTTTGATAAACCCAATTTCTGAAGCTATCATAAAAGTGAAAAAATGCACGTCTCCCAAAATGGTTGAGAAGTAGAGTTCCGCATGCTATCCAAAAGCCAGTAACAAAACCAGTGGCCCCACCAATATAGAACCATCTCAAATCTTCATCACCCTCACTTTTACCAACAACCGATAGTACTTGTGATTCTTCATCTCCTAGACATTTTCTGGAAAGAGGAGGTCCACACAGTCCTGAATTTCCATCGTAGCTTGAAGGTTGAAACGACTGGAGTTGAGTGCTAGATGGGATTCTCCCTGACAAGTTATTAGATGACACATTTAGGTAACCCAAAAAAGTCATCTGAGACATGCTTGGTGGTATCCCTCCTGATAAACTGTTTCTAGATATATCCAAAGTTAAAAGCTTTTTCATCTGACCAATTTTCTGTGGAATCTCTCCAAGTAGAGCGTTCTTTGACAAGTTGAGGGCAAGCAGTTCATGAAGATTGGTAAGTTCGTGTGGGATCTTTCCTGTTAAATTGTTGCTTGAGAGATCAATGCTCTTCAACAATCCCAGATTACGGGTGAATTCACGCTCGTCTCCTTGCCACTCGATCATCGCATGGTCAACATACTCCTCTTCAGTGGGATATGGAAGATTAAATAGTGCAAAGGTTTCAAATCGACATGTATAAGGATGCACGTTTGGTGGCAGTAAGAATCCTTCTTGAGCTATTCTTGTAAGATTACTCAAACATGAGGGGATGCTTCCATGGAGATTGTTCCTTGAAACATCTAAAATTTGAAGATTCGGTAATTGACATACTTGTAAAGGAATGGTTCCAAAGAAGTTGTTTGATCTTAGGATTAGAGCATACAACCCCAATAAGTTTTCCCCAATCCAAGTAGGCACATTACCGGAAAATTTGTTGGCCCCCAAATCCAGGAAGTTTAACTTCGTACAATTCTTTAGAGACAAAGGCAATTGTCCAGAGAAATTGTTCTGGTACAAATACAACACCTCCAGTTCTATCAAAAAACCAATCGAGGGAGGAAGCCTTCCAAACAGACTGTTGTGACCTAGGTTAAGAACTTTTAGTTCTTTGAAATGCCACAAACAGTCTGGAAGCTGACCACTTAGAAAGTTATGGGAGAGGTCAAGAAATTCTAACAACCCATCGACAATTTGGCATAAAAACAAGATTCCTCCAGAGAATTTGTTTCTGGAAAGATTTAATGATGCCAAACGGGGAGGAAGATGCGGTATTGGACCATCAAAGTTGTTGGAACTCAAATCTATTGCTGGAATGTTTCCAAGAATTGATGATAAATCTGGTATTTTCCCACTAATATTGTTGGAAGAGAGATTCAAATAGTCAAATTGCGTTTTCCAAAATTCTGGAGGAACTGTGTCTGAAATACTAGTATTGGAAATATCAAGACGGGTAAGATTTTCCAGTTTTTGAATCCATCTGGGGAAGTGAGGCCCTAGCTTGCAAGAGCGCAGATCAATCTGCTTTAGATAAGAAAGGTTTGACATATGATCTGTGAAAGGAACTCCTTGGAGTGGGTTTTTTGAAAGATTTATATAAAGAGCCTTCGACTTTTCAATGTTTTTAGAGATGGTACCACTAAGATGATTTTGAGAAAGGTCAATCTTTTTAAGCAAGGGTAGCTCCCACAATTTCTCGCTTATGGTTCCATTTATTTGATTATCTGATAGATCCAGATACTTTAGGGATGAAAACTTTTGGATCTCATCAGACAATGACCCTGTAAATTGGCTTCTTCGAATAGACAAGTCTTGAAATGTTAGGAATGAGCACCCAGACGACAAGTTGTTAAGAAAATCAGGAACTTTGACAACAGCAGAGTTGTTATCGAAGCTCAAACTTTCCAAACTACAGAGATTGCCAAGATATTTGGGTATCCCATCCAACATGTTGCTAGACAGATCAAGAAAGCGAAGCTTATTGCTTGTTAATGGGAACATCCAATGATACATGGATGAGGTGAGATTGTTGTTTCTGAGAGAAAGGAATTCAATAGATGAGGAAGAAGAGTTGAGAAATGAAGAAGAATATGGATACATGACCTGTGACAGCTCACATCCATCTAAACTTAAATCTGATAGTTTTGGTAGATTCAAAATCACATTTAGCCACTGGTTTGCTTTGGCAAGGGAAATCCCATCCACTTCAAGTTCCTTCAAGTGAGATAAAGATGACAACCACTGTGGGTTTTCAACTCTACATCTTCCAACATCTTGAAGGGAAAGCCGCTGCAATTTTGTGAGGTTTCCAAACTCTGGAGGAATGGTTCCATAAAAAGAGTTACCTGAGAGGTCAAGGTACCTTAATTCAGTCAAGGAACCAATGAACATGGGAATGGTTCCATGAAAAGAATTTCCGGAAAGATCCAGATAATTCAAGTAGGTTAAGTTAACCAACGAATGGCTAATCTCACCTACAAGACCAGCATCGGACAAATAAAGATCTGTGACATGATGACCTGTTTGGCTGTCGCACCAGACTCCTTCCCATGCACAGCAGTCATCTTCTTCAGGTCTCCACGTAGAGAGACTACCATCAGGGTCATGAAGGTTTGCTTTGAATTGAAGGAGAGCATCTCTCTCCTTATCCAAACACTTGTTTCTGATAACACCATTAGCATCTCCTCCTCCTCTCAGTGTTACCAATTGGTTTGCAGTTGTATTCTGTAGGCATAGCAAGAAAAGTGAGAAAACTATAAAAACACAAGGATGCATGACGTAAATGCAGATGTTGGTGATTTTTTTTGTTTGTGTTGTATATAAAGATGCCCCTACGAAGGTTTATATAGTGCCAACTGTAAAGATGAAATACTAAAGCGGATGGTCTCAAATTTCCATGAAATTTAAAGTGGCCCAAAGTAGACTTAAAGACTTAAAAGTCTTGGCAATTTGTATTTAATATACATATATTTTCCAATCTTGTGATATATTTTGGTCATCAAACTATGTGATATATATAATTCTAAAAAAAACAAAATGATGGAATGAAAGAGAGTAACAATAATTGAAATACGGAATAGGGATATGACATTATTTGGGTCTAAGAATGTAATGACTGTGTAATGAACTTTTCTTAGTTAGATCAATTAAACTGTAAACTTGTTTGAATGCAGTCAATTTTCTTTCAATCCACGATTCTTTTACATTGTTACAAATAATTAATATTTTTATCAAAAGCCCTAAACTACTAACAGCTCAAAAAAAAAGTGGGTTAAATTTTATAAGACTATTATATTTTTTTTATGATGAATTAAATGAATTCTAATAACTTAGGGTACGCTTAATAATTACAACAGTCATTTTTTACTTGTTAGCCAAATGTATAATAAATTTTATAAAAATACCTAAAAGCAATTTTTTAGTCTCACATTTAGATAGTTCATAGAAATACAACCAGAAAAAAATATTTAATTATAACACTATCATTTTACAATATGGAAATCCCATGGCAAGTGAAGAATGTACTATGTAGAAACAATGCACTGATTGACTCAATAATGTAAAAAGAATGCAATGTTTATTCAAAAATGTGAAAAGTAAAAACAATGCAATGCTGACTCAATAATGTAAAAGGAGGGACAATTCTAATTGATGATGGTGGCCATAAAGGAGTAAAGGGTGAGTGAGATGCCTTTCTTTTTTATGATGTAAGGAATGCTCTAGGCAAACTTAGGCAGCATAAATAATTTTATATCGTAAGAATCATCCTTCTCGATTATTGGTTATGATCTAAAAACCTAAGAGAAACATCAAGACAGAACAATAACTAGTTTAGTTTCATTTATTTTGTTAAATGTGTTTATATATTACCACTGTCATCTGCTATTGTTAAATGTGTTCACATATTACTACTGTTATCTGCTATAGCAAGTAGCAAGTGACAGTGGTAATATATGAACATATTTAACAAGTTAAATGATTAAATATGTACAAAAAAACAAAGTTATATATCTAAATGTGAACAAGTTTTTTTTTTTTTTTTTTTTTTTTTTTTTTTTTTTTTTTTTTTTTTTACAAACTTCATAAAAGTTTAAACTTTGTTTATAATTTTTTTAAACTTTTTTTATACTTTCGTATAATTTTAATACAAATGCTTTTAAACTAAATATAAATGTTTTAAACTTTTTTTTTTTACATTTTCATATGATTTTTTTATAACTTTCATACATTTATTTCTAAATTTTCTTTTACATCATTTTTAAAGTGTTTCATAGATTTTGTATGACAATTTAATAACTTTTTTATAATATTTAAAACTACTTTCATTAAATACTAGTTTATAACATTGTACTAATAAATTAAAAGTTTATAAACTTCAAATTAAAAAGTTGTAATAATTTTAAAACATTTACATTATATAGATCTTTTTTTTATTTTCTAAGTAATATTTTCGTTTAATTTTTTAAAAGACCTTCCATACTTATTGTTACATATTTAATTTATTTAATTTTATTATTAAATACTTTTACTTTAAAAATATTGTATATGCTTAAAAACAAAAGAAAAATATTATAAGAAGCTATATAAAATATTTCACAAAACAAAAACATATTTATTAATAAAAAAGTAAAGTTCATAATTGATCAATAGTTAATTAATATTTGAGAAATTATTGATATTTTAAAATAACGTTTAAAAAAAATAATAATAACAAATATGAAAAATAAATTCGCTATTAAAAGTTGGGAAAATGATTTATCAGAGTAATTAACTTCATGTTTTGTTCACATTTAAGCAACTTTCTTTGTTTTTTTTAACATATTTAACTATTTAACTTGTTAATGTGTTCATATATTACCATTGCCACCTAGTATAGGTGGTGACAATGGTAATATGTGAACACATATAACAAGTTAAATGGTTAAATGTGTAAAAAAAAAAAAGTTGTCTAAATATCAACAAAGCAACAAAAATGATTACCCTAGTAAGTTATTTTCCCAATAAACAACCAACAAATGTTAATATTATCAATATTATATAAACAAAAAATAAAATAAAATATAGCGTAAGTTTGATTGTAAGAAAACAAGAAATAATGTGAAAAGTAAAATAAAGATAATAGTTTAACATAAATTTTGAAACACTTCTTTGTATGCTACATTGAAAGGTTTATTGGTCAACTTATGATCATTATCTAAAATCAACAACTTCAATCATTTTTAAGGTTGTAGAACTCGCTACTTGGTACCTGCCGATGCCGACTGGGGAGTAGCGAGTACTCGGGAGTATTCGGGGAGTACTCGGATTCGGTAATTCATGTAAAAATATTTTTTGGAAAATTATATATGTCAAAATTATAAGTTAAAATCATAATTTGATTGAAATATATAACCAAAATTAGATACATGTGAATACATAAAAATTGAAATACATATAATTGTCTCACTACGTGGATAATTACTGAAAATTTAAGATATATATGTAGTAATAATCATATGTTTGTGTTAAATAATAAATCATTAAGTGCATTAAACATATTAATCTTGAAATTCTTGATTTTTTTCTCTTTTTATGACAATTTTGACCCTTTGACCGATTTTGACCGAGTTGGCTGAGTTTGACCGAGTAGGCCCGAGTAGTCACCAAGTAAGCCCGAGTAAGACCGAGTAGGTCCGAGTAAGACCGAGTTTGACCGATTATAACATAATCGAAAAGTCCATTTTTAAAATTAACTTATGGTTTGGAAAACCAGAGATTTTAAGTCCATTAAAAACATCATGTGCGTGTAAAGTCTCATCAAATTGATCGTGAATAATAATAATAATAATAATAATAATAATAATAATAATAATAATATAGAAAGTTAAATGGTATAATTAACGGTAATGAATAAATAATATATAAAAATAATAGACCATTAGTAGAAAAAAATTACATAAAGAATAAGGTTGTTTATTAAAATTTTATAAGATAAAAATAAAAAAAATAAACTAAAAGTATAGCCATGCTCGTTAATTTTTAAAACATGTGTAGATGATGAATTTTGAAGTACTGATGTAGATAATTTAACATCCCAAAAATCATCGTAAAATTTTTTATTTTTTAAAACTAAACCACAAACCATAAATGTTTACAAACTTAGTTTCCAAAAGTCAATATCACAAATCAAAGTATTGCAAAATCAAATCTCATAAAATATAAATGATGTTCATGACCAAGCCTTCGCCTTGCCCCGATCATCTGAAATACCTGAAACATAAAATAAACTGTGAGCCAACGCTTAGTGAGTTCCCCCAAAAAACCCACCACACAATCATATAACAACATACATACTGGGTCCACAACCATCGAGCTGTTTTACCCCTGAGCCACAACATGAGTCTGACTTGCCTTTTTGGGGGGTGTCCATGTCTGGATATCTCTCCAGCCCACAACATAATTATGGATTGCCTTAACGACCCTCAACTTATGTATGGCTTGTTCCCGAGCCCACAACATAAGTCTGGATTGCCTTTCCATCCCTCAGCTTATATTTTGATTGCTCTCGAGTTTGTTGGCTTAGATAACATATATTCAATAAAAAAGAATATCCTATAACCAGTCAAGAGACAAACATGTTGGATTAGTGTCTAAGCCTGTAACCATAATTGGTAAGTACTTGACCCGATTGTGCATGGTCCTTTTGGGTTGCCTTCACCAAAGCAACTTGACTGGAGAAATAATAGAGAAAGAGGTTATTATGATTTATTAATATGTTATAAGAATAATATATTAAAGTAGAAATCATATTTGTTTAATTAATATTGGTCAATAATTAATTAATAATTAATTTTGTGATCAAATGTAATTAATTAAACTAGAGGGGATGAATTGTAAATATGTGATAGTTACAAAATAGGGTAAGGATTATCCTAAGGATAGGTTGGACGAATTTAAGGTGATAAGGCCTTAGAATTTGTTCATGATAAGGATTCAAGGCTTATCTTGTGGGTTGCTTGGTGGGCAAGCAACTAAATAAGGATAAGGACTGAAACCCTATCTCTACACCTATATAAACACCCCTTTGGCTCATGATTTCGTCCATACCTTCCCAAGGCTTCTTAGGGACGAATTTTATACCTCTCCTTCTTTCTCTATAGCCTCTCCAATTGCTCTTGGTGTTTGTGAGCCATTAGAGGCATTACACTTGTGGTGCTTGCTTTCAAGACTTAGGGTTTGAAGATTCAAGTTGTTATTACAATATAACAACAAGAGGTATGTAATCTAACCTTCTTGGTTAATTTCAAAAATAACAATCATCTTTATGGTTTTATTATGTGTTCATAATGTTGTGTATCTAATAGTGAAAACATAGATCCAATGCTAGGGTTGCATGTACACATAGGATTGTTTGTATAAAACCCATCAAAACAAGCATATCTACAGATCACTACCGCTCTTGTGACATGTTAGCAAACGGTTTGGATGTTGAATGATGAATCTGACTTGGGTGCTTGCATGCTTGCATGAGAACATAATCACAAAAGAATCGTTAAAGGACAAACGAATCTTCTCCTGGGACGTCACTCCGACGATCAAGTTAGTTTTCTATGAGAGAGAGAGAGAGAGAGAGAAAATTTGGGGTAATTTCCATAAGAGAGAAGATGGATCCCTTCCTTGAGGCATAACAGATCCTTTTGTACCTATTACTAACGGGTCGTGGGGATCGTGCCTTGTGACCATGAATCGTGGCCTCTTCTTACTGGGAGAGTTATTCACGCTAACTAACTATTAGG